AGCAGATTTATTGTAGAGATGAGGTCTCGCCAAGTTGCCCAGGCGGGTCTCGAACCCATGGGCTCAGGCAATCCACTCACCTCAGCCTCCCAAAGGCGCGGGATTACAGGCTGAGCCACCGAGCCTGGCTTATTTTTATTTTTTTTGAGTTGGAGTCTCATTCTGTCACCCAGGCTGGAGGGCAGTGGCATGCTCCCGGCCACCACAGCCTCGACCTGCTGGGCTCAGGCGATTCCTCTTCCTTAGCATTCCAAGTAGTTGGAACTACAGGCACGCGCCACCATGGCCAGCTAATTTTTGGTTTATTGTAGAGATGAGGTCTCGCCAAGTTGCCTAGGCTGGTCTCGAACCTGCAGGCTCAGGCAATCCTCTCACCTTGGTCTCCCAAAGTGCTAGGATTATAGGTGTGAGCCACTGTCCCCGGCTTCATTATTCTTTTTAATGAATAAATAATTTTTAATTTTCTTAGTTTCCTATTATGATAAATTTACATAGATATGACCCTTTTTTATTTTTTGAATGGGAGTCTCACTCTGTCGCCCAGGCTGGAGGGCAGTGTCATGCTTATGGCCACGGCAGCCTTGACCTACTGGGCTCAAGTGATACTTCTGCCTCAGCTTTACAAATAGCTGGAACCATAGGCACACACCACCATGACTGGCTAGTTCTTTGATTTATTATACAGACGAGGTCTTGCCAAGTTGCTCAGGCTGCTCTTGAACCCCTGAACTCAGACCATTCTCTTGTCTCTGCCTCCCAAAGTGCTGGGATTACAAGCATGAGCCACCGTGCCTGATCACGTTTTTTTTAAAGCTCTTCAAAGTTATTAATAATAACTTTAATTAGCCTTAATAGTAAGGGTATTCTTTTTTTGAGCTGGGGTCTCACTCTGTCATCCGGGCTGGAGTGCAGTGACATGATCATGGCTCACTGCAGCCTCGAACTCCTGGGCTCAAGTGATACATCTACCTTAGCCTCCTGAGTAGCTGGGACTACAGGCACATGCCACCATGCCTGGCTAATTTTTTGATTGTACAGATGAGGTCTCACGATGTTATCCAGACTGGTCTCAAACTCCTGGGCTCAAACATTCCTCCTGCCTTGACCTCCCAAAGTGCTGGGATTCCAGATGTGAGCCACTGTGCCTGGCTAGTAATAGGAATGTTGATGGGTTCTCAAAGTTTGAGAACCAGTAACCTTTGCATATGATCTCTCTCTCCTTGTGACACAGTATGTTATATATTGTGGAGTAGAATGTTCTAAATATTTCAGTTAGGTGAAGTTGATCAATAATTAAGTTGTGTTCAAATCTTCTACATCCTTACTAATATTTTTGTCTACTATCAGTTAGGAGAAGGAGGGTTCAAAGCTCCCAAAATTTGACTTTGTAAATTTCTTCCTTTAGTTTTATCATTATTATCGTTGTTATTGTTTTGGAGTCGGGCTCTCACTGTTACCTAGGCAAGAGTTCAGTGGCACAATTAGCTCACCATAGCCTCAACCTCCTGGGCTCAGGTGATCCTTCCACCTCAGCCTCCCTAGCAGCTGGCACTACAGGTGTGTACCACCACATCTGGCTGATTTTCTGATAATTTTCATAGCGACAAGGTCTTGCTATATTACCCAGGCTCATCTCCAACTCCTGGGTTCAGGTAATCCTCCTGTCTCAGACTCCCAAAGTGCTGGGATTGCAGGCATGAGCCACCTTGCCTGGCCCTTTTTATCATTATTAAATGGCATTCTTTATGTCTGGTAATACTCCTCATCTGAAAAACTGATTTTTCTGATGTTAGTATAGCCAGGAACGCCTCATTCATCCTTTTACTTTCACCTCGACTGAATCTCTTCACATGAAGTACATTTCCTATTAACAGCTTATCATTGGGCTTTTTCTTTAAAAAAAAAAAAAGACAAACAAAACTTTTTTTTTTTTTTTTTGAGTTGGAGTCTCACTCCGTCGCCCATACTGGAGTGCAGTGGCCGCTCCCGGCCACTGCAGCCTCGACCTGCTGGGCTCCTGCTATCCTTCCGCCTCAGCCTTCCCAGTAGCCGGAATTACAGACATGCGCTACCACGCCCGGCTGATTTTTTGATTTACTGTAGAGATGAGGTCTCGCCAAGTTGCCCAGGTGGGTCTCGAACCCGCGGGCTCAGGCAATACACTCACCTCAGCCTCTCAAAGGTGCAGGATTACAGGCTGAACCACCGAACCCGGCCAAACAAAACTTTTATTAAAAGATGGCCTCATGGCAGGAACCACATTCTCAAAGCCTTGTAGGCCCGCTGAGGATTTGGCTCTTGGTCGGGAGGGTTCAGACGGAGGACTGATATTGTAGATTTATGATTTAGAAGTCTCCTTCTTTCCGTAGGGTAGAGAATGAGATGGCAGCTCCTAGAGTCAGGGAGGCTGATGAGAGCAAGAATGGAGGTCGGAGTTAATGTTGTGGCCATGGAATGGGGAGGAGGGATGCATTTGCCAGGCGTTTTTGGAATGATAAGCTGGTGGCCTAGCTGAAACCAACGACCGGGAAACAGGGAGCCTTTGTAACATGCGATGAGGCTTCCAGGGTGCAGGAGGAAAATTTTAAGAGAAGAGGGAGCCCTAGGATATGACATCATCTTCTTAAACATGGCTCCCTCCACCTGCTCCACTGGCGGGTACCCTGGGACCAGGCAGGGCTCATTCCTGGCAGGATGCTGTGGGATGGCCCTGCAGTTTGTTGTGGGTCCTTCGGTGTCATTCAGGGACTCTGGGCTGTGGTGTGGTTGTGTGCCAGGCTCCTCCCAGAGATAGTGTGTGAACTTGTCACAGGCAAGTACTTGACAGGTCCTCAGTGCTGCAGGCTTCCTCTGGAGGTGATGGCACCGACAGCAATCTGTGCATTCTAGATTGTTTTCTCATTTTGGGGTAGGGTCTTCTTCGTTCATTAAAAAGCCAGTTTCTTCCTAGCTGGGCACAGTGGCCCACTCCTATAATCCCAGCACTTTGAGAGACGGAGGCCAGAGGATTGCCTGAGTCCAGGGGTTCAAGACCAGCCCGGGCAACTTGGCGAGTTCTCTTCTCTACACTAAATAAAAAAAAAAAAATTAGCTGGGCATGGGTGTGCACCTGTGGTTCCAGCCACTTGGAAGGCTGAGGTGGAAGGATTGCCTGAGCCTGGCAGGTCGAGGCTGTGTATTCCACTGCACTCTAGCTTGAGCAACAGAGTGAGACACCAACTCAAAAAACCCCCCACAACAAAAAAACAGCTTCTTGGGAAGTGTAGTCCTCCAGAAGAGCATCTGATGGCCTCAGACCATACTAAAAAGACCCCGATCTTAACCGGAAGTCATCAGGAATGACAAGGGTGGAGGTGACGGGAGGAAAACTAAGTTGGAGCAGGTCCACATGGGTGAAAGTGATCTTAGAGTCAAAGAACCGCAAGAAGAAAAATCTAAACATTCCCATCTGGAGGAATTCATCGCTAAGGGGTAGAGAAAATGATTAATGTGAAACTTCTTTATGTATGTATGTATGTATTTATTTGAGTCAGGGTCTCACTCTGTCACCCAGGCTGGAGTACAGTGTCACGATCACAGCTCACCATAGCCTCAACCTCCTGGGCTCAGATGATCCTTCCACCTCGGCCCTCTGAGTAGTTGGACTTCAGGCATGCACCAGCACACCTGGCTAACTTTTTAATCTTTTATTAGAGATGAGGTCTCACTGTGTTG